CAAATCCAGGAGAGTCACATGGCAGTTAAGCGTGGGGTAAACACACAAGCCCTCCGGGTGGTTCTCCGTGACGTTGTGGAAGCTAATCAATAAGGCAGGAGGGCTATGACATCATTAGTTGCTGTGGTAACGGCGGCACGCAGACGGCGCTTATCTGCTTGGCAGGCTGAGAGGTTGTCAGACAGGGCGTTGCTTGTTGTTCTCTCTGTATGCCTGAAGCCACAGTAGCCACAGCTGTCAGTGTCGGACAGATTTTACCGCCCGCGCTAGTGGACTGACGTTTCCAGTGATGAACATAAGCCATAAGATGCAGGGGCCCTCTGCACTTTCATACACTGGCACAAAGAATATTTTGCTGAAAATGATCACATTCTCCATTTCTAGCTGGATTATGTGTAAATATTTATTGGAATATGTTAGGACCTGCAAATGATTAAAGTAATTAAATGTGATTAACTGTACTGTTCTGAGCAGTTCATTTTGATAAATTAATAGTTGTGTTTGCTCAATGTTTAGCTTTTAAAAAGCAAGTTTTCTAGCCTTGTAAGTGGGCAAAATGCACTTCATAAGAATATACACTGATCAGGCATAACATTATGACCTCCTCCTTGTTTCTACACTCATTGTCCATTTTATCAGCTCCACTTACTATATAGGTGCACTTTGTAGTTCTACAGTTACAGACTGTAGTCCATCTGTTTCTCTGCATACTTTATTACCCCCTTTTTACCCTGTTCTTCGATGGTCAGGACCCCCAGTGGACCCTCACAGAGCAGGTACTATTTGGGTGGTGAATCATTCTCAGCACTGCAGAAACACTGATGTGGTGGGGGTGTGTTAGTGTGTGTTGTGCTGGTCTGAGTGGAACAGACACAGCAGTGCTACTGGAGTTTTTAAACAGTGTCCACTCACTGTCCACTCGATTAGATGCACCTGTGTTGTTGGTCCACCCTGTAGATGTAAAGTCAGAGACGATAGCTCATCACTTGCTGTACAGTATGAGCTAATCATCCTCTAGTCCTTCATCAGTGGTCACAGGACGCTGCCCACAGGACGCTGTTGGCTGGATATTTTGGGTTGGTGGACTATTCTCAGTCCAGCAGTGACACTGAGGTGTTTAAAAACTCCTGTCTGATCCACTCATACCAGCATAACACACACTGACACACCACAACCACGTCAGTGTTACTGCAGTGCTGAGAATGATCCACCACCCAAATAGTACCTGCTCTGTGAGGGTCCATGGGGGTCCTGACCACTGAAGAACAGGGTAAAAGGGGGCTAACAAAGTATGCAGAGAAACAGATGGACTACAGTCTGTAATTGTAGAACTACAAAGTGCACCTATATAGTAGGTGGAGCTGATAAAATGGACAAGTGTAGAAACAAGGAGGTGGTTTTAATATCAATATCATTTACTATGTTATTATAATATTATTATGATTGGTGTTTGAGTTTACCTTCTGGTGGAATTGTGCTTAGTTGATATTTCTAGGTGAAAACGTAGCTAATGGTGAGATTTGCCTCAAATTTTTATATCATAAATCAGTCCTTCATAGGCCTGTCACTATCAGTACATTTTAGCTGATGATTAAATGCCATATCAATAATTGTAATTGTGATTAACAGTATTTGTCTTTTGTGCAGTGGGTGTAGAAACAAGGAGTTAGGTTCAATATGATGGCAATAGTCACTTGTGTAAGATAGTAGGTCAAATTTAGAGAAAATAAGTCATTATTATGAGATGCTAGGTCAATATTCTGAGACAATAAATCACTATTTTGAGATACTAAGTCAATATTTTGAGACACTAAGGCATTATTTTGAGACACTAAATCAATATTTTGAGACAATAAGTCACTGTTTTGCGATAATAAGTCAGTATTTTGAGACAATAAGGCACCATTTTAAGATACTAGATCAATATTTTGAGACAATCAGTCACTATTTTGAGATACTAGGTCTATATTTTGAGACAGTAAGTCAGTATTTTGAGATGCTAAGTCAATATTTTGAGACAATAAGTCACTATTTTGAGACACTAAGGCACTATTTTAAGACACTAGGTCTATATTTTGAGACAATAAGTGACTATTTTGAGACACTAGGTCAATATTCTGAGACAATAAATCACTATTTTGAGATACTAAGTCAATATTTTGAGACACTAAGGCATTATTTTGAGACACTAAATCAATATTTTGAGACAATAAGTCACTGTTTTGCGATAATAAGTCAGTATTTTGAGACAATAAGGCACCATTTTAAGATACTAGATCAATATTTTGAGACAGTAAGTCAATATTTTGAGATACTAAGTCAATATTTTGAGACAATGGCACTATTTTGAGATATTAAGTCAATATTTTGAGACAATAAGTCACTATTTTGAGATACTAGGTCTATATTTTGAGACAGTAAGTCAGTATTTTGAGATACTAAGTCAATATTTTGAGACAATGGCACTATTTTGAGATATTAAGTCATAATTCTGACTGCTGTCAGAAAAACTCATAGCATTTGGTTTGGCCAATGGTGTTGGCGTGTCGCTTGCTGGGTGAAAGCTACAAGCAATGACTCATAAGAATATATAGAATTCATGTTATTGTTCTCTTCTATTGTCTTCAGTATCACTGCGCAAGCACATCATGAGTGAAAATTGGCTCTAAATGTGTGCTGTGATGATATAGGTGCATAATTAATGACACATTAAAACCTGATGATTTCTTTCTCATAACGCTTCTTGCTTTAATGTAATATCACACTTCCTCCTCCACCCCACCATGAGATGATGAATTAAAGCAATTCAACTTGAGTCTGGGATTGGAAGAGACTGAAAAAAGAATGGAAAGCAATTACGACATCAACACCATTTAATGAGCTACAAATCACCTAATTGTAAACCTCCAGCACATGTGCTGAGAAAGTGTGACTGGAGCGTGAACATAAACAGGGGAGGTTGTTTCCAGCTGTCTGAACACACATTTATGATAGGCACTCATAACAGTGCATTTAACAGCAGTGGATCATTGCGTATTTCTCAGAACTCCTCAGCTATAATAGGCTGCCTAATGACAGAAGCGCACTCTCAGTTCCTCCATTACATGCGGGAGCACAATAAACACTCAGGCAGGCTGCCATACACATTGCTGAGCCTGGTGTTATATGGGACACATAATAGAGTGTGGAACTGCTGCATGCGTGTTGGATGTTAGATGGGTTGCTAGGAGTCTTGCAACAAACATCTAACATTATGAGTGCTATTAGATGTTTGTCAGAAGATTACTCAGGCAGCGTAGTGGAGATGCACTGGCTCTTTATGTGAATAAAGGTTAATAAGTTTCGCCTTGTCTTTTATATCTGAACTGCATGTTTTAAAAAGTGTTTCCATTTATTTTTAGGACAATTCAAAATGCCAGCTGTCCTTTACGTTGTGTGAACATTTCATGATGAATGAACCAATAGAAACAACCGAAAAACATATGGAATAAAACCTTGTTAAATTAAATTGGAAAAATATTGTTAAATTAATTTACACTGAAATCACCATACAAAACTCTGGAATCATGATTTGGAATAATATATATTGTTGTACATTCAGTACTGTGTAAAAGTCAAAGATTATTTATGTAATTTAAATTATTTAATTAACAGTCAGAATGGCCAATAAGGACAAGTTATTAATTTTTCAGCATCAGAAAAATGAAGAAAACATATATGTAACAGAAAATTATGCAAAAGCACGTGCATGTATGAAATAATTCAATTATCATGGTTATACTCTATAACTTCATAGATTCCAAAGACATTTTAGGAGATGGTAGGAAAAGTGAAGAAATAGCCAGATGTAGCCAGAATGATGAACAGAGCAGTAGATGGTTCCATAATGACTGAGAAAGCTGAACAACAAAGTAAGAAGCCACAAAAGGCTGTGCGGTACTGTGATTTTATCACGGGGGTCTCTAAAACTCCCTTCCCTTTGATGAAATTGCAGTAACACACAGCCTCAAGTGGCTTATTGCTTTTATAAAATGGCGGCCAACATAAATTACTTTCTGAAAAATTGTGTATTTATCATATTCTAAGTTATTATTCATAATAATCGCATAAACAAGTATTCAGCCAAGAAATGTAGTTCCTTTAGACTATGGTATCATTGCCAAGCTACCATGCACTGCTGAATGAGAAGAATGAATGAGAATGTGACATTTTTTAGACTTTTATACTGCCATTTTACAGTTAATCATACCGTAAGTACTTTAATTCAAGCCTGTGATATTAATGTTGGAGTTGTTTAGACTTTTTGCTATCTTTTAGCCTGTTAGCTAATTGACCAGCCTGGTTCTTGTTAAGAACATAAGTCGCCCCTCAGTTTAAACAAAAAATGGGTTTTTACCTCATCGGTATACTTGGTGGTCCATGTGAGCAGCATGAGAGTCAAAGATTATTCCATTAACAGCACAACGTTTTTTTTTTTTGGTGCACTAATACACAATTCAGTCATAGGTGTGCGTGTATCGTGGATTTTAAAATGGCTTTGACCATGGCTCAGACTTTAGGCCCAGAACTGTCTGTTTTATAAAATAGAATTAACATCCAGAATTCTTTGTATTTGAGAAGTAGCGATCCAATCTCCAGGAAGATTACTATAAAAATGCTGTAGATAGATAATTACAGTACATTGTTTATCTTTCAACAACTTTCCCTGTTGGAATATTGTACTACATTAAATCAAATATCTTAAAATACGTTCTGAAGTTTTTGGGTTACACACTATGAGATATTATTGAAAAAATGAACAGGAATATATGACAGGTAATTTCAAAATTTTGAGTGGTTGTGTACATCTTCTCTTCTAAAGTTTCCATTTCTGAGACACAAGGTTTAGTTATGACAGTATTCACTGTATATTGTGGTGAATAAATCTTTCCTTTTGCTTGTGTGTGTGTGTGTGTGTGTGTGTGTGTGTGTGTGTGTGTGTGTGTGCGTTTGTGTTTTAGGCTTGTGCTTGTGTGGCCAGTGCACATGCCATCCACCAGGAGACAGCCGCGTTCACGGCAAGAACTGTGAGTGTGATGACCGGCAGTGTGAAGATGTGCATGGAGACATCTGTGGTGGTAAGGAGTCACACAAACATACATATTCAAACATCATGATTGTCCATCATAGACAGGGTTTCCATTCAAATGTTTCACAGATTTCAAAAATAAGTAAAAAAAGTTTCTATAAGCTACATTTATGTGCAAATTCCCAAAGATAACATCACACGCTCGCACCGTACAGCGCGAAACAAGAGTCCATTCGACGTGCATGGAGTGGAACCTTTATTAGCTCTTGGTAAAGCAGTGTTGACAGGTCTCTCTCAGTTGTACATAGCTGTAACCCTAACAGCTTAGAGACACCATGAAAAGCAGGTAGTAGCCTATTTAATGAGTAGCTGTCTCACTTCACTGTCGCCTGCTGAACCCCTGCAAACGTCAGTCCAGATGTTGATGGCTGAGTCTCAATTTGCATACTACTGTGCTAATTAGTTGTTCAAAAAAGTAATGGCCTAAATTGGTGGTGTACTAATTTGACATGCTGTTCATACTGTTTGAGATGCAGCCATTGATTTTCTTCTGCTATGTTTATTACTAGATGAAGTGGAACGGCGTGACTTCCATTACCGCTACGTCAACACTCATTCGAAGAACTTGTTTCCATCACTGTTTTCCACATTTCTCTTTTACCTAAAAAATGAGACTGCCTTTTCCACCTCACACATGTGACATTTAGCCATTTTTCAACATTTATGACTTTTCCATCCAATTTTTAATGCGCATTTTCCGAATTTGCGTAAAAGAAGTGGATGGAAAACCCTCAACAGACAACAGACAGAATGACATCATTCTAGCAGCATTTCATGCACTAACTCCATTTTATGTCAATGTGCAGTTGTATATTGGATTTTGTGGTTGCGATTGTATGTTGTGGTGGGGCACGCCCCAGTAAATCCTGTTTTTTGGCACACTTTCTCTCCTTTTGTCTTAAGATTTGTTTTCCAGATGGGATGGTGCCAGTCAGACAGGAGAGACACCAGGTGTCTGTGTTGTTTTCCATCATTTCAATGTTATGATCTCTGTAGTCTTCACACTGGCCTCAGGCAAACCTTTGGCATACATTTTTGTTGGCCACAGAGCATCTGAGCTAGAAATATTTGTCCAAACCTGATGGGAACAACACTTTTGAAATATCTGTGAGGCTCGGGTCAAGTTCACATTTCCCTTTTGGGTTTCTCAGAGCCCCTCTCCCACCTTTAAAGGCCCTTCTTAAGGCCTTCACATATGCAATTTGCTTCTGTATGGCATAAATGAAGGAATTTAATTTCTCGATTTCCTGCTGTGTTCATCAAAATTATATTACACACTTCTTTATGTAAAACTAATCGTGTCTGAATTGTACTTATTACACTCCTTTTAATACTTTTCTGGGAAAGTTTTGGAAGCTGACTAAAATGTGTGAAATAGTTTGCCAGAATCTTAATATTTGACCACCATTAAGCAACTGTGCAGGCTCTGTGGATTTTGGGCTTGCTTTGTACTTTGTGTGATTTAGTTTTTCCCTATTTTTCATTCTTCCTTCCTCTCACAGTTACCTTAAACAGTGTTTAACTTGGTATGCTGGAGTTACATGTGTTGCAGCAACACTCACCAACATCCACATGAGCAGAAGGAAAAGAACACATCAGCCTATGGAAAATCTATCCAAACCAAAACTTTTGAAGTGTTGTCAGAATGTGTTCATTAGTGAATACGACTGTAATTATTTTAGATTTTAGCTAATTATACCTTTTTTGTTTGTCATTAATCTGATTAATCCACATAGGCCCACAAAATCAGCAGGCTGACAAAATCGAATCAGAACCAGAAACTTTCTTTGACTCTACAACGATCCGTTTGCTTTATATCACACAATAAAGTGTTACAAAACTGTTATAGTGTACAGGTTAGTTCATTTTGTTTGTAAGGTATGTTTTTCTGAGTAAAAGAAACCACATGCCTTCACATCTTTAAATGTCCTAAGTTTTTGGGCAAAGGGTGTATCGTGAAAATGTTCAATTTCTATATAAAAATACAGCCCATAGGATTAAAAATACAACCCATTTTCACTCGTTTTTTTGGTATTTCTGTGATCCATTGGCATGATCTACCATGCTAACTTTGGGCATCAGAGTCACACTGAGCCCACCTGCCCTTCTGAACCAACAGCAGGCCAGCTGTTCTTTGCTTCAGCTTTTTTGTCTGGGCTGATCACTGTATGATTGACAAGTCCCCACTGAAGTAGAGTTTGACTAGCGCAATATTTAAGAACAGTATTTTTTTTTATATGAAATAGACCTTTGTTACATTATGCTGTACTATATTATTAATTCTTATTTGCACAATATAAAAGGAACAGGGAGGAAACCAAACATATATATATATGTATGTGTGTGTGTGTGTGTGTGTGTGTATGTATATTTGTATATGTATCCAAAAGTAAATGGAACAACATAAACAAAGGACACATGGCTAAAACAGGGAAGACAAAACCGGACAAGATGTTACAATCTTTGCCTTACATCATATTTTTTGATAAACTCTATATTAATAATATATACTATTTACTCTATACTATTATCAGCTTAATTTCAAGGGTTCTTTTCAAACGTACGTTTTGAGAAAGCACATAGAAAAAAAAACAATCTGGCTCCTTTTAATGTGCACCAGAGGCTAGTAACTCCTACATCTACAGTTCCATTGTGTTTTTAGGTCCACTGACTACATGCACAGTTAACTGCAACCACTATTTTCACACTATTTTGTTCAGCACAAATAAAAATGTTCCATTTCTGTTGTGTTTGGTCTTCTGTTGTTCTGCTTCAGTAATACTTAGAGTAATTCTTACTTACTTTCACCTGGACAGCAATTTTCAGAGCGTTAGCCTTCAAAAGAGACCAAGATGGCCCTATTTTATTTTCACTTTATATGCTTGCTCTTTTAATCAGATGTTTTAATATCTCTTTCCGTTTTTATGCGGATGATACGCAGTTGTGTCTTTCCGTAAATCGAGTAGCTATTGTGAAGCACTTTGTAGCTTTGTCTTAGAAAAGTACTATATAAATTAAGTTTACTTACTTACTAGATTATGGTTGTAGTCCCAAAGGTTTAAGAAAAACAACCACACTAATGAACTGTTATCATTTCAGGATTTGTCCTTTTGTGTTTAATAAAAAGGAGAGGATCAGTGTGTCGCTAAGGTATCAAAAGGAATCCACAGATTCAGGCTCAATTAACATTCTAGAATGAGCTTTTGTCATCCAGATGATATGCCCAAAGCTCCTGAGCTATTGGCATGCCACAATGCGCTTTATGCAGAGGGAGCTGGTGCATTCAGAAATCCCTGTATAGGAGATTGACTGTTCACAGCATATGCAGAGGATGTTTGGAAGGCGTTGTGTGACTTGAAGTGTGTAGAGCTGTAAGGACTTGATGTGTTTTCTGTAGGGGGTCACATTGAGCGCTGTAGCGTGGGCATATAAAGAGTTCTGGGAAGTGCTGGGTGATGAGCGTGCAATCATCCTCAGTTCATGCAATTGGTCTGGCTGTGACCTTCCTTCAGGCTCAGAGTATTCTGCTACAGAATGGGTGAAACAGAACACCAGCACTGTTATTGTTTTCAAAAATTGCTGTGGGAGATCAGCAAGATAGCTGGTAGGGGAATGGAGAATTTTCCAGAATTTGAGTCTTATTGTCCCTGTCTTAATCTGTACCTGACTGTGCATGGCATAGAGCAGTCACAAATACAGAGAAAGACGGCTTGTTAGCACTAATAGTGAAGGAGAATGAGAGGAAATAGAGGGATCTATTTCTAGAAGTTAAATTTGTTGACTTGTTCCTAATATACACTATGTTTTATTATGGGCTATTAGGTTGTAAGACCACATGAAAGTGAGTACACAGTCACAGTATTTGGACATTAACCCCTTACATGGCCAGGGCCTGCTAGCGGGCCAAAGCTTTGTTACACACTTCTATTACCTAAGAATAGCTCATCCAGTTTGCATTGAACTCCCTGTAGTTACTGAATAATAAGCCTTAGTATGTAAAAAGCCTAGGATTTTAAAGGCTTAGCTTAAAGCAGCTGAACTGTGCAGTACGTTGCTTAATACAGGTGACTAACAGCTGTTAAGATTTAGTGGCTCTGTTGTTTTTTTCTCTAGCATTACCTTTTTCCATATTTCACACAGATCACTAAGCTTATAAGTCAGACTTGAGGAGTAATGACAACAACTAGGAAACTAGGCACACTTTATACCCTTTGGAGCATCTGTAGTAGTAATCGCGATTTATTGCTTTAGTGATTTGACAGCCATAGTTTACACTCACAGGGATGTGCATTTGTAGATGAAAGAGCCACTCTTAAGAGATCTGGAGTTAACGATTTCCCGAAGATGAGTGGAAGGACCCAATCAATGCAGGACAAGGCATTAGTACAATTACAATGTTCCCACCCTGTTTTAGCCACTGTTCATGTCACTCCTTAATACACACATATCATGGCTTGAAAGCTGCCTGCAAGGAAGAGAGCCTCCAAGAGGTACTGGGATGTAGATTCAACAGATCGATGCAGTTTGATTGGACACGCTCTCTGAAATCTACAAATCCAATTGAATTTGTGAATATTTCAAAGCCTTTGAAGTTTATCCTCCCTTTCTGAGAAGTTTGCACTCTTGATTGGGAGCGCTTAGGCACGAAGCTCAAAAATGATGAAAAGTGCTATTGGACAACTTGAAACTTCAGCAATTTCATTTTAATTGACATTTTGGTGATTGTTTGCCCTCAATGCCTAAGAAGCACAGTGTGGAAAAGATCTGACCTAATTGGTGTTTCTGCGCTGGTAAAGCTTGGAGCTGTTACATCCCTGTGACTGGAGAAGTGCAGAACAGATTAGCAGTGCTGGCCTCTACAGTAGGGCAAGGCAGCTGTGGCAGAGAAGGCTTGTCAGGTCTAAACCTTACCTCAGATTTAATGTGGGCTACATGCAGTGACCACTTGGAGTGTATGTGGGAAAATGATTGTGTCACATGTGCTGGCCC